ATTGGGACCATTTGAGGGATGGAAAGGGAGAGAGCAGTGGCTGGTAATGCAATCCCCAGGAATTCTTGGTTAAACTGACAGTGCTTTTTATCCTGGTGAATCCCTGACCTGAGAGCCTCTTGCCTAAAAGCCTCAGAGGTTTTTCKTAATGCACGTAGAGAACGAATTCTCTCCAGAAACGGAACCTGAGGGCAGCTCTTGCATGTCAGACCAAGAGGATTTCCCCTGGRGAGCCCTTTCTGAGTCAGACATGTGCTGCAGGGCTGTGCTCACCCCRCAGGAGTTCACAGCAGCAAAAGGTGCCTCTGTTTGTTTCCCCAGGAATAAATCAAACGAATCAGCCAGAGATGGCAGCGTTCTAATTAAGTGTTTGTTAGCTCTAGGTAAATTTGAGCCACTCTGCTGGAACATGGGGCTTTGTTCCTAGAAAGRAGATGTTTCTTCCCTAGGTCTTCAGAGAAAGGGAAGAGTTTTACCTTTCAGGAAAGGAAATTTGTCATATCAGGTGATGTTTGTTGGAGATTCAATTGAGTTTTGGTTATTTTAGWGGCTGTGTGGTTTGTTCACGCATAAATGCCTGTCCCACCTGGTTCCAACCAAAACYCAGCCTAAAACTTCTCAGCTGCCCCTTTCTCCAAGTCACCCTCAGATATTCCAGCCCCTCTCCTTCCTGCTAAAAGCCTCACCAGGCTGGTTCTCCAAGCCCAGGATTTGGGATTCTCCTCCCAGAGGAGCATGAGGAGATCTCTGCAGTGAACATCACAGCAGAGCAATGCACACACACCCATGGATCCTTCTAGGATTTGCCTCATCCTGGGCCAGTGGGGAGTAAAAAACAAGGAGGTTTCTTGGGAATGAAATTCATGTTATTCATGGCACTGGTCACACATTTAAACCAGCTGCCTCTCCAGGTTCTCGTGTCCTGTTGGTGTCCATAGCACCTTTTGTTGCACTCTACAGCCAGCTGTCTTCTCTTCCCAGCTTAGAAAATGGCTCTGGGTAAAAGGAAGCCTGGAAAACAGCTGGGTTGGTCTCATGGATGCATTAATGCCTTGAGGAGAGGATTCTATGTAAAAACGAGGTGTGGTGTTTCTCGTGGCAATGCACGCTCCTGATTGAAGTCACCTGTGCTGAAATTTAACCAATTAAATTTGGTTCAATGTGTGACATTGAACCAAAATCAGATGGTTTCCACTTTTCAATCCCACCTCCTAATTCCAGGTCTGATCCTCAGACATGCCCTGTTTTCCAGTGAGGAGCYAAAAATCCATGTCCTCTCCYCWCTGGTGAGCTCATATCCTYCTTTCCTTCCTTCCTCCYCCCAGGGCACCCTCCAGAAGTTCGTGGATGACCTGTTTGAGACCATCTTCAGCACTGCCCACCGTGGCAGTGCCCTGCCCCTGGCCATCAAGTACATGTTTGATTTCCTGGATGAGCAGGCGGACAAGCACAACATCCACGACCCCCACGTGCGGCACACCTGGAAGAGCAACTGGTGAGTGAGTGAGTGAGAGAGACAGCCCAGTGCATCCAGCAACAGGAACTGGGCTGGAAGGAGAGCAGAAGGACAAGTGTTTTGGGCTCTGGCTGCTGGGGAAGCTGAAAATCCTGATATGGGGTTTGGAACAGAAGGCTCAGTCTTCCCAAGGCGATGGGGAAAGTCAGGAGATCCCAAAATAATGGAATTTTTCAAGCATGGAGCACTTTTGCTAAATAGGTCCCTGTTTGTCCTGTATTACATGAGTGGCAGGATTTTTGAGGGATTTGATGAAGAAAAATGAAGGTTTTAATTGCTGCAGTGCCCAGGATCACATGGGAATACCTAGGGATCAATGGGAGAGGATTCAACACCACTGGCTTCATCCATACTGGGTTTGAATTCCCAGTGGGGCTTAACCTCCATGGTTTACCCACACAGAGATATCTGATGCCAGCTGGAATATTTTTAAGGTGTCCCAGCCATCCTCAGAGGATGTGCAGCACCCACAGGACATTTGTACCCTCCTGGGTGGCAGCTGGAGGCCAGGAGAGCATCTCCAGTGGTAGGAAGCATTTGAAGGGTCTGGAGCTGGGTGTGACCATCCTTTGGAGTGACAAAATGTGACATCAGCGACAAAGTGGGATGACAGCAGCCCCTCCTCGTACCTGCAACAGGACAGCTGGAAAAGGTGGAATCCATGGAGAAAAGTCTGAGCCTTTTCTGCTGAGCCTCCCCATTGGAGAGAGCTCCCTGGGGAATGGTTCCCTYCCCTTCCCCTGTGCAAACACAGGGACTATAAAAGGAACAGCAGAGCAGAGCCATGGGGCTCCCAGCTCATGATTTTTTTTTTTTTTCCTTTTCCTAGCCATGCTGATGGCAGACCCATCACAGTGCCGGTGACATAAAAAAAAGAAACCCCATGCACCAAAGAGGCTTTCAGCTAATGAAACATTAGCATATTATTAACATTATCTGCGGCACTAATCTGAGGCTGATTGCAGCCACTCAGCCTAAATGAGCAGGAGGTTTGTTTAAGGGGGGAGGGGGAAGGCAGAGAGTGTGTGTATGTGGGAAAAGGGGCAGTGTGAAGAAATCTGTTCGATCAGATCAAATTAACTCRAAGTCACATCACAGGGCTTCATTATTCCCAGTCCTTTGTTCCCTCCCTGCACCCAGGCAAACAAAAACACCCTCTGCTCCTCCTCACCAGGGCTGGGTCTGCCATCCAAACACCTGCACAAGCACCTGTGCAAGGTTCACTCATCCACCTCATCCCCCAAGGGATGATTATCCATTCCCAGCCTAAAATCCCACAACTCCATCGGTCTCACTGCCATTTTTTTACTCACTCTTCCCTGTGAAGCTGTGGCTGCCCCATCCCTGGATGGTCAAGGCCAGGCTGGACAGGGCTTGGAGCACCCTGRGRTAGTGGAAGRTGTCCCCACACCACCAGTTTTGGAACTGGATGTTCTTTAAGGGCTTTTCCCACCCAAACCACTCCCTAATTCTAGGATTTCCAGCATCTCCCATTTCTTCTGAATGTGGCTGACAGGATTCCCTGTGTGGGGCTTGCCTTGCATTTGTTCTGTGATTTTTCTGGCTCAGGAGAGCACAAAGAGGTGTTGAGGAAAACATTGTGTCCCCCCTCTGCCAGGAAAGCTGTTACCCAAAATCTATCAGAGATGCAGATGAATTTTTCACAGTGTTGTGAACACAATGAGCAAATGGGAGGAACTGGGGAGTTTATCCTGAATATCAGGAGAATTTGCTAAGCTGAGAGGTGCAGAGAGTGAAGGTAGACTTCACAATCTGCCTGACAGAGAGAGAGCTGGGCTCTGTGCTCAGTGACACATCCCAGCTCCTGGCCATGATCACTGGAACACATTTGCCCTGACAAAAAGGCTTGAGGCAAAGGCTGGAGGTATCTCACACAAGATACCTYGGGGCATCTCATACAAATGAGCTGCTCTTTGGAGAAGAGGGGTAAAAAGGCCTCTGGATTTCAGCTGGAATAACATTTCCTTGGTTAGGGCAGATATGTTTTCATATCAAAGGCTGTGGTACTTGTTTCCATGTTCCTTTTTTTTTTATTTATTTTTCCTTGAGGCAACAGGGCTTTCCCTGTCATGTAGCAACTTCTTCCTGCTCAGGGTATTGGGATGGTGTGTAGGCTTGGGCTGGAGCAGTGGAGAGTGACAGGACACGGTGTCCAAGCACACAGAGAGTGCCAGGAGCATTCCTAGCCTCCACCTGGGAGCTCTACCTGCCTCTCTTCCCATGGGATTGCTGTGAGGGCTGAAAGCCAAGTSCMAAAATGACRAATTTTATAAACACAAAAYRGTTTGGGTTGGGAGGGAYCTTAAACTCATCCAKTTCCACCTTCTGYCMCGGGCAGGGACAGCTCCCACTGTCACAGGGTGYTCCAAATCCCATCCAGCCTGGCCTTGGACATTCCCAGGGATSCAGAGGCAGCCACAGCTTTTCTGGACAGCCTGTGCCAGTTCCTTCCAATTTTTGTGGGTTCAGTGCCTGTCCCCATCTGATGGATCAACCAACAAGGCCAGCTTTTCATTGCAATTCAACACAGAGAAATTCAGAGTCTTTGTCATCACCTGAATTAKGCTCCCATTAATTTATGTGCACCTTCAACAAGATTGTATTGACTTTAAGGCTCACAAGATGTGCCTTGTAAGGACAAAAGGTGACCTCGCTGCCATCCATAGACTTTGTAGGGGAGGAATTTATTGCATACCAAAGTTTATCCCATAATTTCCATATCCACAGGATGATCTGTGATTTCCACCCACCATTTGCTGCTGCTGTCACCAAAACTGCGGGAAAATTAAAACTTTCTAACAACATTTTTAACGTTATAAAGTCAAGGCATTATTTTATTTTCTAGCCAGGATGTTTTTTCTGGCCAGGATGTGCCACAGAAATAATTTTGTATATTTTTCCAGGACCGTGATTTCACACAGCAAGGTCTATGAGCTGTGCACTGATTGTGTCCCCTCTCCCACCCCTCCTGCAGCCTCCCCCTGCGTTTCTGGGTGAACATGATCAAGAACCCCCAGTTTGTCTTYGACATCCACAAAAACAGCATCACAGATGCCTGCCTGTCCGTGGTGGCCCAAACCTTCATGGACTCCTGCTCCACCTCAGAGCACCGGCTGGGCAAAGACTCCCCCTCCAACAAGCTCCTCTACGCCAAGGACATCCCCAGCTACAAGAACTGGGTGGAAAGGTGAGTTTTAGCTGTGGGATGACATAAAGTGACATAAGGAGGCCCTGTTTTGGGGATGGAGGTAGGAGGCAGCATCGCTGTCGCTTTTGGAAATTGTCCTTGGGGCTTTTTTGGCTTTTTTGGCTTTTGCTGAGCTGTAAATCTCCATGTCGGCCTTTCATTCCCTCGTGCCTTGCAGCAGAGGTGGAAACTGAATTAATGGAATGRACTGAAGGTGTTTGCCATGGTTTTTGTTGAGAGGCAGCAGAGGCAGGAAGGAAGGGGAGGTGATGTGGCTGAGCCCTGGCGAGCACAGGGGTTCCTCAGTCTTTCCACACAGGCCAGAAGTGGTTTGCTGCTCTCAGCATCATTGGGACAGTCCCCACAGTGCAAAAAAATCCCAAAGGATTTACAATTATCTCCCAATACCTTCCCTTGGAGGCTCTTCTGTCCTTTAAATGAGATGCCAGAAGCAGACTGAAGCTCTGCAGGTATTTTCTGTCAGCTCAGAGGTCTTTCTGAGCATTTTGTCCACACCTCCAAGACCTGTGGCTGTATTCCAACCTGCTGTACYGCAGGTCAGTGCCTGGCAAAGCTGCTGCATGGGGAATAGAACCAAAACAACCCTTCTTGCAGCAGGCTGGGACTTCAGTTTCTGTAGAGTTTCCACAGGGAATACAACCAAAATAACTCTTCCTGCAGCAGGCTGGGACTTTCCATAGAGTTTCCTCCAGAACAAGCAAACAGCACACCCTGCACTTCATCCAGCAGGAGCTGTRCTTTGTTTTTGGACATACTGCACTTGCCTGGTGTTATTGACAGGTTTGGGAGATGGGGAGCAGTCGCTGCTCTGTAAATACAAAGGCAGGTTCATCCTACAGACCATTCCCAGGTGCTGCATCCAACTTTCAGCAGTGATTTCTCTGGATGGCTTCCCAGGCATGACCCAAAACTGATTCCATGTCCTGCAGGTTGTACAAGTCCTCTGCTGCTGCAGACACCTCACACTGCGCTGWAAATCCCCGAATTGCCTTTGCTGAGGATGATTTTCGTTCGTTTCGTGAAGGGAGCGTGGCTGATCAAAGAGCTCCGTCCCCTGCTCGGCACAAGGCAGCATTTTTTTCCAGCAATTCTCCCGTTGGTCTGTGATTTGCCTGGACAATTATTTTTAGATGTGGTTAAACACTTCAGCAAATGTCGTTTCTAGGCAACCTGCAAGGCTCTTACGASCTACCTTGCTTAATTATGACCTACTTTTGGTACCGTGTCCAAGTTTCTTAGTATGTATCGAGGCTGATTGCYGGATTGACCTGGATAATGGGAAGGAAGTGTTTGAGATTCGTTTAGAAATCAAGTTTATGCCAACAGTGACCCAAAGGTGTCATTCTCCGGTGATGCTTTAGCAACACTCTGTGTGGGTGGGTGGTTTCCGTGGACAAATAATTTGTTTTACATCTCAGCCTGGTTGATTTTGTCCTTGGGAGATGCTGCATTTGAGTGACAAATTGAGGTTCTCAAGTGGAGAATGGGATATTTCCTTATACAACACCTTTTTTTTTTTGTTTGTTTTTTGTTTTTGTAAATCTCTGGATAAACAAAAGGCTGCAATTTCCATTTTGTTTTTCCAGTATTGATTTCACTTTACAATTTTTTGGAGCTAAATCCTGGTGCCCAGTGATCTTCAGCAATAGGTGCTGCATTTCCTTGGAAGTTTTCCCAAACAACTGGGTTTGCAAACGAGGTACATAACACCTCCTGCTGCTTGTAAACACCCTGGATTCCTGTCCCCAGCATGTGCTGGGTTGTTATCTGCACTGATGTCTGACAACTTGAACTGAAGCCCAAGGGGAAGCTGCAGGTTTTGGAATACGGTTTAGAGCTTTTTCCCTGCTTCTATTTTTGTGTGTCAGTTCCACTGACTCAAGGCAGTGGCACCTGGATGCTGTGGGAGATGAAAGAAAAAAAAGCTATCAGGGATGAATAAAATATAATTTGAGTTCTACCCCGAGCTAATGAATTCCTCTTCTCCRTTCTGCAATTGTGCTTTGAGGGAGTTATTCTGAATCCAAAGGCTTCCAGTGCTGGTTGGAGCAATTTCTGTAGTCAGCATCAGCTGGAGATGGCATCCTCCAGGACCACTAGACTCCTTCAAAGAGTGAATCACGAGATAAAAAGTCAGGGATTTTAAGAAGTGGTTGAGTAAATCAGAAGAACCYGAAATCAAACAAACTGCTTTGACGAAGAAGAAGCTCTGAGAGGGTAATTAGACAGCGGTGGATTGTACCCAGCTTGAGGCACTCTGGATTAAAACAGGCCTGGCTTTTGAGAGGTCTGGAAATGCAGCTGAGCTGASGTACCCCAAGCCATCCCTTTGAAATCTTTGGTTTCTGGGTGTGTGTAGCCTTTAGGACTCAAAAAACCSAGGGCAGGGAACGTCCTTGGCATGAGAAGCAGTCAGGGATGAAAGGACTTCCCTCTGATCTTTCAGAAAKTTGTTTTCCACATGGGAATGTGGTTTGGGAAGGAAATGGTTACATCTTCTGGCCTGACCAATGGTCCACCTCCACAGATTGGTTGAGTGGAAATTTGATTCCAAAAGGTTTCAGCAGCAGGACTGTCAGGAATATTCTCTGGTTTCATTTGTTTGTTTGGCTCATGGTTTAGGGTAGGATTTTCTCATGTTTTCAGTTGCTTGTTTGTTTGTGATGAGTCAAGTTCTGCCTTCAGTATTAGGATGCATGACAATGACTAATGAAAATATTTTAAAACTTACCAATTTACCAATTTTTGCAATTTCCTGTCGACTTAATGGAAAAACTATATAAGAAATGGAGATCTTMCTTGACATTTTGAGAGGCTGGTTGTTTTACTGCCCATTTCTACAATTATTCAAGATAATGGATTTGCTGACAGCAGCAACAAAAAATTATTGTGCATCACTTAAATTTAGTCGAAGATGTTCCCTGCTCATTGCAAGGGGGCTGGACTGGATGACCTTTAAATGTCCCTTCCARCCCAAATTATTCTGTGATTTTGTTGTAGTCCTTTCATGACATTTTTGGAAGCAGAGGTGGACTCTGCCTGCTGGAACWATCCAGCTGAGAAATTCTGTCTTTTGGGGAAAATCAGGTTCACTTTTCAAATGTTACACCCAGAGCTGGAAACACGTGGTTAAAAAGTGCCCTGGTGCAGCCACATCTTGGATTCCCTGCTGCAGAACGTGAGGCCTGATGAGGCAGGAGAATTAACCCAGGAAATTGGGACAGGCTATCTGGCTTTTGTTAAAGCCACGGAGAGTCAGGCTGCAGTTCTAAAACAAAGTGGAGGCTTTTCAATTATCATTATGAGTCTATTAAAAAAAAAAAAAGAAGGGGGAAAGAATGGGAATGGTGGAGCAGAATCTCATCCGACTTCAGTTAGTAAAACTCCATATAGACTCTGCTGAATTTACATTAGAGCAGCTTCAGATCTGCATCTTTTCAAGTTTACTTCAAATGTCCCCTTTGAGCCTGGAAATCTGGAGAACTTGGGAGCATTTGATACAATCCCCAAGCAATACAAAGGGGAGCCTGTTCTAATTGGGACTGTCTCATTAGCATTCAACACCACACTGAAAAGATGACAAAGGGCTGTGGCTGACCTTTCATTTCTCTCCATGCTGCCAAGCTTATGATAACACTTGTTTGAACTTCATTAACACCATTTAATTGCCTGCATCACAATCAATATGATGTGTCCCTACCGAAGCCTGGCACCGAGGCAGGGATGTGGGAGACTGAAAAGGGGCAGAGCACAAAAAGATGAAGCCAAAGAGATTTTCCATTTCACACTGGTGCCCGAAATACCTGCAGGGCTGCAAGGAGAGGGTCTGGTGGGTTTTATTTTTTTCTCATCCCTGCAGGGACTCATTCTCCTTTTGGCTGCTTATTGTGCATTGAAAATAGCCCCTGTAAGAAAATCTTAAAGTCAATGGAGACTTCACAGGTCTTCTTAACTGAAGAATCATCCAATGAAGACCATTTAAATTAGGCTTGCCAGGTTCACGATCAAAAGAGGYTTAAAGTGGTCTGATATGTGGGATTCAGAGTTATAACATCTGTGTTTTATTGTGTCAGTCTGGGTGCAAACACTGCCTGACAKGGCTGCTGCTACCCAAATCCTTGGCCCATGATCTCATCTACTTTTTTTTTKCCTTACATGCACAGAAAATTATAGGGTAAGGGGGGGAAAATTTAAACTAAAAAGGAAAGATTTAGGTGAGATGTTGGGAAGATATTCTTTACTSAGAGAGTATGAGGGCCCTGGCAAAGGATACCCAGAGAATCTGTGGCTGCCCCTGGATCTCTGAAAATGTCCAAGTCCAAGCTGGATGGGGCTTGGAGCACCCTGGGACAGTGGGAAGTGTCCCTGCCCATGCCAGGGAGTGGCACTGGGTGAGYTTTGAGGTCCCTTCCAACCCAAACCATTCTGATTTATTAAGCAACTATGATTTGCATCCTATTAGCCTTCAGATGTAGAGATTTTGAGCCTTTTAGGAAGGTTTTGAAACAAAAACAGYCTGTACCCATTTGGGATTTCACCTACCCAGTGTGCCAGCTTGGGCTTTCAGAGTTCTCCAGCCACTAGGAAATCTCCACCTGTGCAGTGTTTGTGCTGTGTATTGGCCACTCTGCAGCTAATTTKACAAAGAAAGACAAACTGGACCAGTTTGATACAATAAAAAAGCTGCATGTATCCTAACATCGGGAGTTATTGAGGTTTTAAGTAGAAATTCTGAGAGTTTTATAAAAGAGCAGCAGCACATGACAGGTGCAAATCCTGGCTGTGCTTTAAAAAACGAGTTTTTTGTGCCTCCCCTCTTTCTGCCAGAGAGAAGGCTCAAGAAGCAGCACACCAGGGGTCAGGGCAGGGGGTGCTGTCAGTGGAGATAATAAAAAACAGTGCTGGAAGGGCCTCGGGAGGTCAGCCCGATCACCTCCTGCCTCGGGGCAGGATCAGCTCTGTCTAAAGCCTTCCTGACA